GACAGTAGGATCATCTCCTAGTTTTTAATCCATTCAGCTGCTCTGTATCTTGACTGGGAGATTTAATTCATTTACATTCAAGGTATTATTGATAAGAATTGATTGATGCCATTTTGTTTTGTTTTCTGATTGTTTTGCATATTCTTTGTCCTTTCCATTTCTCTTATTGGTGTATGTGTTGGGAGGGTTGGTTGTTTTGTATACTGAGATTTGGTTCTTTTTTTATTTGTGTATTTGTCAGTGAGTTTTATTTTTGCATGTGTTCTAATGCTGATTTTTTTAAATTTATTTTATTTGAAAGACAGAATTAGTGAGAGGCAGAGACAGAGAGAGGTCTTCCATCTACTGGTTCACTCCCCAGATGACCACAATGACCAGAGCTGCGCTGATCAGAAGCCAGGAGCCAGGAGATTCTTCTGGGTCTCCCACACAGGTGCAAGGGCCCAAGGACTTGGGCCATATTCTACTGCTTTCCCAGACCACAGCAGAGAGCTATATCAGAAGAGGAGCAGCCAGGACTAGAACTGGCGCCCATATGTGATGTGGGCACTTCAGGCCAGGGCTTTAACCTGATGCGCCACAGCACTGGCCCAATTTTTTGTTTGCCTTTGAAATAAATTTTTTAAAAAAGGGAGGGATATAGAGAGTGTACATGAGAGAGCGCTTCCATAAGCTGGTTCAATTCACAAATGACTCCAACCTCTGAGGCTGAGCCAGGCTGAAGCCAGGAGCCTGAAACTCCGTCTGGTCTTCCATGTGGTTAGAATTCCTTGGGCCATCTTTTGCTGCCTTCTCAGGCACATTACCAGGGAACTGGATTGGAAGTGGAATAGCTGGGACTCAGATAAGCACTCCAAGAGACAAAGATTTGTTTACTGAAAGGCAGAGTGACCAGGAGAGACAGAGAGTGAAAGATCTTTGAAAATTTTATAATGTAATTATTTGTTTTCATCTACCCAAAAGGCAGAACAACATGGAGAGAGGGAGGGAGAAAGGGAAGAGGCGATCAAGAGATTTTCTATCCATGGTTCACTCCCAAATACCCTCAATGGCCAGGGCTGGGCCAGGCCAGAACCAGGAGCCTGGAATGCTATCTGGGTCTCCCACATGGCTGGCGGGGGCCCAACCATTGAAGACTTTGAGACAACATCAGAAGCCTCCCAGGGTGCGTTAGTAGGGAGCTGGATTGGAAGCAGAGCAGTCAGGACTTGAACCAAGCACTACAACATGGGATCCAGGTCCCAAGGGGTGGCCTAAGCTCCTGCACCACAGCAGCAGCCCCTGACAGGGTTAGTTTAAAAGACTTGTTCCCAAGTTCAGAAATTGTTTCTTCTCCTCGATCTAGACTGTTGTTGAGGCTCCCAGCTGACTTTTTTATTTGATTTTCTGAGTTCAATTCCAAGATTTTTCTTTGGCTCTTTTTCATGATCTCGATCTCTTGAATTATTTTCCTAATTTCAGTAAATTGTTTGCCTGTATTCTTTCATGTTTCACTGAGTTTCCTGAAAATCATTCTTCTAAATTCCTTTTCAGGCAACCCATCAATTTCGTCTTCTTTGGAGTTTGCTGCTAGAGAATTGTTATGTTTCTTTGCAGGTGTCATGGTTCCTTGCCTTTTAGGCTTCTGTACCCCCTGGTTGGTGTCTGCGTGTCTAGTGTAAGAGGGTCTCTCCTGTCTATGGCCATACCACCCTGATCTCATCTGATCTCGGAAGAGTATCTCTCCTAATTTTATGGAGTGGCAGTCATAGAGAAAGACTTCTCCCTGTAGGTGAGTGGTAATGTGTCCATTGGATAGAGTGCTTGGGCTTTGATTCTGAGGGAGCGTGGGTGTGACTGCTGAATGATTCTTCAGCTGTAATAAACAGCGGCAGTGTCTCAGTGGTCTTTAGACTGTAGATGTTTATGTAGGTGATAGCACAACTTTGCTGCTGATGTGGGCTTCCAGAGGTGGATGACCTCAGGTCCTGGGGGCCCAGCATAGATCATGGCCAGGCCTTTAGTAGTGGCAAGGGCAGTGCCAAGGGGTATGGACCACAGGGGATGTGTCCTTCGGCCCTGTAGAGGTGGACACAGCCAGCAGTGGGGAAAGCTCTGGCAATGGGAGTGGTGGTACTGGGGGTATGCAGCATGGTGAATGTAGCCTCAGCCCTTCAAAGGCAAGCTCTGCCATCATAGGTAACCAGGGTCAAGGAACATGGGAGACGTGCCCCCAGGCTCTGTAGGAGTGAGCACCAGCAATGACAGTGGTGTCGTCGTGTCATTGTGTGGTGTGTCCCTAGGCCCCATTTGAATGAGTGTCGCAGCTACAGGATTAGTACCAGGGTGTGGACCTTCCCAGACTTGGGGGGCAGGGACAACAAGTACCACTAGCAGTGTTTGCCTGAAAGGGGAAGTGGCCTCTTCAGGGCTCACAGTGATGGTGATAGCAGTGGCACTGTAGGGCTTGGACTTCAGAAGGTGCATCCTCAGGCTCTGCAGTGGCAAGTGGTGGTGGTGGCAGCAGGATATGGGACTATTAGGAGACAACAGTGAGAGGAGACAGGCTCCATCTCCCAGAGGGTATGCACCCTGGTTCCTCAGGTCTTGAGGGTGACACACCTGCAGTGCAGGATGCTACATGACCTTGGGTGATAGGGTCCCCTGGCTGGGCTTATCCTGAGTTCTTACTCATGTGAAAGAATTCAAGGTGGAGGCACAAATGTGTACAGGGAAGTAAGATTTATGTAAAGCAAAGCAGAAGTATATATTCAAGAGCTAAGTGCAGGCAAGCTCAAGGGAAGGAATGAATAAAAAGTCACTATGTAAAAATACCCACTGAACAAGGTTCTGGCCACTTTTTTTTTTTTTCCCTCATAGTAATTTTTTTAACTTTTATTTAATGAATATAAATTTCTGAAGTACAGCTTATGGATTACAATGGCTTTTTCCCCCCATAACTTCCCTCCCACCCTCAACCCTCCCCTCTCCTGCTCCCTCTCCCCTTTCTGGCCATTGTTTTTTGACAGGCAGAGTGGACAGTGAGAGAGAGACAGAGAGAAAGGTCTTCCTTTGCCGTTGGTTCACCCTCCAATGGCCGCCGCGGCCAGCGCGCTGTGGCTGGCGTACCGCGCTGATCCAATGGCAGGAGCCAGGTACTTCTCCTGGTCTCCCATGGGATGCAGGGCTCAAGTACCTGGGCCATCTTCCACTGCACTCCCTGGCCACAGCAGAGAGCTGGCCTGGAAGAGGGGCAACCGGGACAGAATCCGGTGCCCCGACTGGGGCTAGAACCCAGTGTGCCGGCGCCGCAAGGCGGAGGATTAGCCTAGTGAGCCACGGCGCTGGCTTTCTGGCCATTGTTATATACTACCCAGAGGTATAGGGAATGGTGTCTGGGTTGGGACTTAAATTAATATTCAAAAGGGGGCAGGGTTTGGGGCAGGACTTGGTACCACCCATTTCTGTGCCCCTTTTTGGAACCATCCAAAGTGTCTTTAAGGCAGGTGCATGGTGGGTGTGGGAGTACCGACCATGGTAATTTTACCATAATGCCATTATAATGTCATCATGGGGACACATTCTGCAGCCATGTTGGATATTTCCAAGCTGGCGCTGGTTCTAAGTTTGCAACATTGTGGAACTTGCAGCTTCCATGGCATGGAAAAGGTGGGGTGGGGCAACCTGATGGTGTGGATCAGGCTGTCCTGTGGGGGCTTCTGTGTGGCTGGCTCCAGCTGTCCCATGGTGGGTTGGGCCGCCGGAGTTGTGACGCTGCAGTCAGCTGGAGCTATCAAATAGCAGCCCCTGTGGTCAGCTCCTTTCAGCCAGCTGACACCTCCTACCTGTCTGTCCCAGTGGGGACTCTCCCATCTACCCTCTCCCCAAGATGCTGGGTCCCAGTGGTGGGGTGGGGCTGGCGTTTGCTACTCTCTGCTGCCTAACAGGGTTCCCATTTCTCCCTTGTTCAATTCCTCGGCTCTCCCTCAGCCAATCACCTGGACATACATTGGTCCATTTGTTGTCCTGGCTCTTCTCTGTGAGGACGATGAGCACTGGGCACCTCTGTTCAGCCATCTGAGAATCCCTAGTTTGTAGTTCTTTGTTGAGGAACACGAAACCTTTGCACATGTTCACTGGTCAATGTATCCTCCCATGAATTGGCTATGTCCCTTTTCTATTTGCTCCCGAGTGGGAGGAGCTGTCTTGACATAATTGGGTTTGTTGGCTTTATGGTGCAGTGGGTGCCAGTTCTTCCAGGGACTGTGTCCTCTGGGGCATGAGCATGAGAGTTCACGGCCTTTAAAACCAAAGTGTGAGACCCTGAAGAGTGGAGGAAATTAAAAGTGAGGAGTCTCTGAAGCCACGTCCACCTGCAGAGTCTCAGACGCGGCATCTGTCTCTCGCTCACGCGGTGGGAAGGAGCTTGAAGGGGCAGTGGAACAGCGCTCCAGTAGACAAGGCTTTGGGATGTTGGCTGCAGCAGCAGTACTGCCACTTAGGACTTTCTGGGTGGTGGTCCATGTGTGTATTGTGTCGCTTAAACCCCCAACAGGTACTGACCGGGTCGGTGTTTTCCACTTTGAGGCTGGACAAGCTGAGGCTTAGGGATGTGAACTAAGCCACACACTTTAGTAAAGTCAGTAGTAAGTGGGGGAGCTGGGTTTTAAATCCTGGCACAGTTGACTTGGCTTTGAGCCAGCACTGCTGTCGCCGTGTTGTCATGCAGTGAGAATGCTTTCCTGAGGCTGAGGAGTGGGGTCAGTGTGCACACAGCCACACCTGCCTGCCCGTCCACCTGCAGGGCTGAGTTTATGCCACTCCATCTCCCTCATTGTCTGGGCACTGCCAGGGGAGTGGTGACTTTTGACTGTGCCTGCTTTCCCACCACAGTCCCTCCCCGCCTCCTCCGCCCCCAACAGGAGGGCTGTGGAGATGACCCCTCACAAACCCCACAGTGGTTTGGGGGATGTCTGTACAAATAGCCTCTCTGTGAATCACTATGCCTTTTTGTTTTCTAGATAAAAAACCTCAACCGTGGTTTTGCCAAACTGAAGGCACTTGTGCCATTTCTCCCCCAGAGCAGGAAGCCTAGCAAAGTTGATATTCTGAAAGGTGCGACTGAATACATACAGATTCTCAGTGATGTTTTGGAAGGAGCCAACGACTTGGAGGTAAAGGTTTTGAGAATTTAGAATGATAATAGCCTCTCTGTTGAGCCCTCCTTGTGTCGCAGGCGCTGCACTAAGCAGTTTACATACACTTTCCAGTTAGCAGATAGAGCAGTCCTCTGAGCTACTTATGATCTCTTTTACAAGGAAGGAAACAAGGCCACACAGCCAAGGACTGGGATTTGAACCCAGATCTGCGTGAGCTTTGAAATCCCTGGACATCTGTCCACCTGCCTCGTAGGGAATTCCTGTAGGGACCCTAGGTCCTAACTGCTGGGATATGAGAAGAGGCCTCTGTATACTTGCTTCTTGGAGGCGGTTTCCCTTCAGCAGAGCACACATCAGAGAAGACTCGGAAAGCGGTTTTGCCATCACTCAGTGGGTGACATAAAATGGACTTGCTTGGTAAACTGTGGAGCCCTCTAGTGTCAGCACCATTAGCAGGGTGAGTGGCTCACAGGTGTCCGTCAGGCAGTGGCAGGCATGGGCTGCTTTTATGGACCTGTTCCATGGAGAGGCCAAGAGTAAAGGCCTGAAAAATAAATTGGGAGAGATAGGAAAAGAGGAAAGGCCTTAGCAATGAGCCATAAGTGATGCCAATGGCAGGAGGAACCATTAGGGAGGAGAAGGTGAAGGAACAAAGTTGAGGTGGAGAGAATCTTGAAAAACTGAGGGGGGAACAGAGAAGCCATGGACAAGGAAGGCAGTTGGGTACATCATTGGAGGGGGTAAAGAGGTCACCTGATGGAAGGTCGAGGCTGCACTTCTGGTCAATCCCTGCAGTCCAGACAGAGGGGCAAATTTCAAGACCACTCTACGTGGAGATCTGAGAGTAGAAAGCAGAATCAAGAGAATGGAAGCAGAATCGAGAGAGCTGTTAGATGACGTGATGGTCTTTTCCAAGTAGCACTGTGATTGAGTTTAGGGACAGAACAGGAGGAGAGATACTAGACAGAAGAGAGACATTTGAAAACTTAGGGCAGAAATAGCCAGCTGTACAGTCGTACTTTGGGTTTTTTCCTCTTGTTCTTGCCCACTTAGTCCTGCTTAGATGCCTGATGGGAAGATACATTTTGCAATGGGTTATCCTATTGGCCAAGTTGGATGGTCATAGTGTTTGCACATGTGCGGGTGGCTCCCTTAGTTTTTCCTTGCATGTTAATTGTATAACAGAAGTGCTTTGTTGTATGCTGCATTCATTATAAAATATAGGCTGTTTCATGCCATTGTATTTCTAGCACAGTTCCCCATCATACAGCCGTTTTTAAGGTCAGAGAAGAGCAAACATACCATTAGTGCCCTGAGCAACATTTTTCCCTCCATGATAACTTCAGCATTGCCCTTATCACCTACATGAAAACTCATCAGTTAAAACTTTGAAATATATTGATTTCAGTCTTCAAAACTTGTCATATTATACCACTTGACAACTGAATATGGTTTCCAGAAGCAAGACTCAGATGAGCAGAACTATAGCAAAAATACTTCAGAACCACCCATATCCTTGGCTAGAGAGCTATCGAGAAATGTTACTCAGCATTCCAGCTGTGCCATCGTCAGCTTGAAGAGTGAGGAGGAAGGGCCCTGGGCAGAACACAGTGGTGAGCCAGTGTACGCCTGTCACCACAGCATGACGTCCACAGCTGGAGCTACCTGCCCGGCCAGAAGTCTGGTAAAGTATTCCTTCGGAAATAGCTCACTGTGTGCTCTGAGGGGTGTGGCATTTTCCGTGCTATACGTGATTAAAGCAAAACTGATGGGTAAAAGCACCAGAATGGAGAGACGGAGCTCGGTAGTTTGGAAGATTGTTAACATACTTACATTGATTGACAGGCAGCTAGCTGCTCAGGGCTGGGGGCATTCCTCCAGAGAAACCCAATGCAGACCTAAGCTTATTTTTGTAATTTCTCCATTTAACACATTAAAAGGTTGCTAGACAGTGCAGTCTGCAGAAAAAGAAGTAGCTTGCCATACCATAGATTCATGGTGCTAGTGTTTTGTTTGTTATTTTGTTTTGGTGTGGAGACATTTTCTGTGCAATGGCCAAGAGTTTATCGTGACAGTTCTTATTACTTTGTCAAACTTAAAGAGGCAGCTGAAGTAGCAGCCTGCTCCAAGTCTAGAGGTGGATGCTTTGCCCTTGCTCTGGATCTGAGGAGCCCCTTGATCTGTCCCACCCCGTAACATGATTGTTCTTCAAATAAGTCTTGTGGGAAACACAACCAAGTATACTGTGATAAGCTAGTTTCTTGGCATGATAAAGAGACGTGGGGTAGGGGGTTGTGGATTCACAAATGATGGTTGATTTAGAATAGCAATTGAGTGTAGCAGAGAATAGCAAAAAGTGTACCACTTGCCAGCTGTGTGACCGTGAGTGAGTGCCTCAGTTTCCCCATCAGTAGAATGGACATGAGAATTTTAGCTTGTACATAAGATAACTAGGAGATTCAAATAGCATCGCATCAGCAAAGTGCGTAACGCAGTAACTGGCGTGTCAGTGTTCACTTGGACACATTTTTATTGAGTTTGCTTGGCTCACCATGAGCAAGTCAGTATTGACTGGTGAGCGGTAGGAAGCCACAGACATCCCAGCTCTGTTGTGATAAGTGGTTTGGGTGTTCTCTCTAGACTATCACTGATACTATGTTCAGATTTGAGGTCTTACAGGCTTTCTGCTGGCTGACCAGTCTTGGCTTCTGTTTCTGACTTGGTGACTGTTCTCTAAGGATTCCATCTGTGTGTGTGTGTGTGCAGTCTAGGTTTTCATATTCTGGCCACCTGAGATACGAACCTTTCCCTACTGGCCAACCCTTTAGAAAGCAGAATTCCTGTTGCTCCAACATGAGCTGACATGGGGTGACTGTGAGTTTGGAAGGCAGGACAACAGAGACAGGGAAGGACACACACACACACAGTCCATCTGTTGGTTTACTCCCCAAACGGCCGCAACAGTTCTGGCTGGGCCAGGCTAAAGCCAGGAGCCAGGAACTCTGTCCTGTTCTACCACATGGTGACAGAGGTCCAAGTACCTGGGCCATCATCGTCTGCTTTCCCAGGCACATTAGAGACCTGAATCAGAAATAGAGCAGCTAGGACTCCAGCTGGATCTCTGATATGGGTTGCTGGCCTCCCATGCTGTGGCTTGACCTGTGGTACCACATTGCTGGCCCCTATCATGTCATTTTCTTTTATTTCTCATTGCCTTCCTTCCTCCCCTTCTTTCAAGGCAGAGTTAGAGAGATATCTTCCATCCATTGGTTCATTCCCCAAATGGCCACAACAGCCAGGGTTGGGCCAAGCTGAAGCCAGGAGCCAGGAGCTCCATTCTGGTCTCCCACATAGATGGCAGGGGCCAAGTACTTGGGCCATGCTCCACTGCTTTCCCAGAGCATTAGCAGGGATCTAGATCAGAAAGTGGAGCAGCTGGGACTTGAACTGATGCTTATATGGGATGGCTGCATCATAGGTGGCGGCTTTACCCACTTTGCTGTAACACTGGCCCCCATCATGTCTTTTTTCATGGTGCTTTAATGTAGGTGTACCTTCCTGCCAGTCCTGGTGGGCTTGGGACTGGACAGGTGTGTGTGCAGTAGCAGAGCAGGCTGGTGCTTACCCTCACCAGTGGCAGGTGTGTCCTGGAAGTCTTTGTTTTCCAAGGATGCTCTTCAGGGCGACAGACCACTTAACAGCACATCCATTAGAAGAGGGGGCTGATATTTCCTAGAAAAGAATAGCCATGTTGTGACTATAATTATTTTCAAAAAGAAATGGAACAAAACACTAGTTTTTTTTTTTAACTAAGTTTGTTGTCCTTTGGAAGGAGAGTATGCTGATTTTAGAATGAACACAGAATGAATCAGCCATTTGAGATTTTTGCGTACATGTAACTCCTGTCAAGTGTGGCTGCTTTGCAGACACATGTACCTGTTTTGCAGACACATCCTGGGATTTCACCAGTGTTGACCAAGGTTCCTTAGCCTTTCACATTCAAATCCAGATCACTCATTTAAAAATAGTAAGGTTACTCTGCAACAGTGATCAGCTTGTAGAAAGGTTACAAGTGTAGCACCAAGAACTTCTGACCCATCTGAGAGTAAGTTTCCAGTCTGATGCCCCATCAGACTTCAGTGTGTTTTCTTACCAATGGGGGCGCTCTCCTGTGTGATCACAGTGCAGCTACAAAATCGGGAAGCTGATGTCGCATTGCTGCCATGCCATCCTTGGGTCCCATTCAGGTTTCAATGGTGTCTCAGTAATGTCCTGCCCAGCAAAAGGCCCCAACTGAGAATCACGAACTGCACTTGGTTTCCTTCAGTCTGGAACAGCTCCTGGGCCTTTCTGTGGCTTTGAAACCTGGGCACTTTTGAAGATGACAGGCCAGTTGTTTCCCAGAATGGTTCTCTCTCTGCATTTGCACGCTTCCTCCTGATTAGATTCAAATGTGCGTCTTTGACAGGAGTCACAGAAGTGAGCCATTTTCTACTCACTGCAGCCTCTTGAAGATGGGGCACATTTTGGTCTATTTCTAATGATACTCAGCTTTGATCACTTGCAAGCTTTCCCACTTTAGTCTTTTTCTTTTGTAATTAGTATGTGTTTTGTGAGGAGGTACTTTGAAGCTATCTAAATATCTTGTTACTCATCAAACATTCTATTTTTGTTAAACTTCTCACTTTGAAGTAATTACAGATTCACAGAAGTCGCAAAGATAGTACAGAGAAGTCCCTGGTACCCTTCACTCGGATACCCCCAATAGCTGCGTCTTATGTGACCTGCAGTACCCACACGTGTGGCTACCACGTGTATATTGTTCTGTGTCATTTGGTCACATGGGTGGAACCAGCACTGCAGACAAAGGGCTCCGTCACCGCAAAGGTCTCTGTGCTTCTGTCAGACTCACACCCTCCATCTGCCCCGCTCCTTCACTCTTCCTGATCCCTGACAACCGCTTGTCCTTTCTCTGTCTCTGCAGTTTACTTTGGGAATGTTACAACAATGGAATGTTAGCATATATAACTTCAGAGATTGGATTTTTTCCCCCAGTAATGCAAGTTTATATTAATCCTTTGTACTTGCTTTTGTTTGCTGAGCAGTAGTCTATGGCATGTACCACAATTTTTATTTCTGTATTTAGTTTTTTGCATGGGTATAAATGTATGATTTTCTGTTTAATTTAGTAGTATTTATATATCTTCACAATATCATATTTCATTATTGATCTTATTACTCAAGTCATCCTCATTGTGGCCAGTGAAAGCCCCTTCAAGCATGCTACCTTTCTGTTTGGCATGTCTGATCATTCTTTGATCACTGGCCCTCCAGCACAAGTTGCTTCAAGTTTATCTTGCGTTTTCCACCCTGAGTCCTGGAATTGACCATTGATCCCAGGATACTCCTGTGTCTAACCCCTCTCTCACCTCTGCTGCCACCTCCTCCCTGCATGGCTATTCTCACCTGCCATGGGCTTTTTTTGACACACTCTGTATTCCCTGAAAACCCTCATGGCTCCAGTTCCACTCGGGCCACCCTCACTCCCGACATGGATGTCTCCTCTTGGGTGGATGTCGACTTGTCTTGGATCTTGATACCTCATTTCAGTCACCGTGTCTCCTCCTATCTTGCTGTCACTCAACTAATGGCTTTAGGACTGAATTGTTTAGGAAGGAAACGTGGAAATCATTTTTGTTTGGAGTGCTTGCTGTGCAGCCATCTTTTTGGCTAGTTTTTCCTGTTAGAGTTAACTCTGGATCTTTGTTTGCATTTGAGTTGAGCAGTTGTCCATTATCACTTTTACTGATTTTATTAAAAGTTTGCATTTATAGTTGGGTGAGGATGGTCCAAGAGAAAGGGGCCAAGGAAGTGATGCCCTGGCTGGCCTTTATTTGACAAGGGATTCTCAAGAGGGTTCAGACAAGCTTACCCAAAAGGTGACTACATAGGGTTTCAGGGTGCTGGCCAGATACCCTGCCTGCAGGCCCAGTGATGGGGGACAGGGCTCATGGGACTGAAATGCTCATGTTCAGAAGTACCTGGGAGCTGGGAGACATGGCCTCTCCAGCTTCAGTTTACAGGTGTGCTACCCTTCTCCCTGCTTCGGAGAGGGTCAGGAGTAGGATCCTGGTGCTGGCAGAGATGGGCATTTTTGGGGATTTGAAGATGAAGTCAGAACAGCCTGTGCAAGATCAACAACATTCCTGGGAGGCAAAATCCCGAATGAAGTACATAAGAATCCGCTGATGGCAGGGGTGGAGATTAACCTCGGGGGCCAGGGCAGCTTCACTTGGGGATTGAATTGGCAACTGTGAGTGCAGACAGAGGACTGCGAGCCATGTGAAGCCACAGCGTCTGGTCTGGTGGGGACAAAGATTAACAAGAACGCTTATTGAAAATTGGAGCTTTGGAGCGAGACTTTCTTGTGTTTGGGATGCATATATTCCATATTGAGCATGTTCTAGTCTCGGCTCTTTTGATCCAGTTACCTGCTAATGCACAGACTGCCAGACTACAGGTGATGGCTCAAGTGCTTTGGTCCCTTCCACCTACGTGAGAGACCTAGATTGGTTCTGGGCTCCTGGCCCAGGTCCAAACGTTACAGGAATTTGAGAAGTGAACAAGTGGCTAGAAGAACTGCCTCTCTGCCTTTCAAACAAAATGAAAATAAATATTTGTAAATAAGTAAATTTAGAGTTCCAAAGGGTAGGTTTGTTGTATTGGAGTTGGGCATTGCTGGATGGCAATGCAGTCACTGCCCCACTATGTTTCTTCTTTGGATTTGTCACCTGTGGCTGTGGTTTGGGTCTTACATCATGCATGACTCTAGTTTTTTTTTTTTTTTTAAAGATTTATTTATTTGAAAGGCAGATTTAGAGAGAGAGAATGAATGTAACTTTCCTTTCTGCCCCAAATTCCACCCATTCCTGAGACCTAGGTAAGGCTCTCAGGGCCTGGATGGTGGTAAGACTGATCGTCTGGCCACACTGAGGTGGGCCTTCTTGAGTGAATACTGTATCGGTTCACGTGCAGGCTCCTGCTGGGGTTCTTTGCCTCCTGAGTGACTCCTGCCCCCAGCCCAGGTATGAGGAATGTACTGTGCAGGCTAGAAAGACACCAGCTTGTTTCTAGCCGCCTCAGTCTTGGGTGGTGGCGAGCTGACGTCTCCTGTGAACGCCCGTGGCCCTGTTGTGCTTTTGCATCTCTAAGTAGATCTGCTGTGTCTTTTCTGTTTGGAACCCAGGCCTCTGTGGCTTCCTCACCCCTAGTCGGGCAGTGACGCTCAGGTGCCTGGTGATGTCCCTCAGCTGAGTGTAGTCACTGGAGTCTCAGAGGTTGTCTTATAAGAAGTGGATGCAAGTTCTTGCTTTCCTTTGTTGGATTCTGTTATCTTCAGTAACTTTCCCCTGTCCCTGGGTTGAGGCCCTGGGTGGTAGGTAGAGCGTGGAGTCCTTCTTGCCATTTCAGGTCTTCAGGTTGGGTAGCAGGAAGACTTCCTCATGTCCTGCCTTGCCTCCTTCCTCTAGAACTACCTGATGGGTGCTCATCTAAGCTCTGGTCCACCAGAATAGTACATTTTTATTCCCCCTTTCAACAAAGTCCGCTTCTTCCAAATGAAAGCCTTACTTTTCAGGCTACTGTAAGTTTGGGGACTGAACTCTAAAGCTGAGTGAGCAAGGACTTCTATCTACTGCATCTTCTCTACCAAGCCTTAGTTCAGTGAGTACAGGAAAAGTGGACTGGATAACACTGGATAGCAAATTATCCAGCTGGGCAACCAAGTGAGGGGATGCACCTGCCTCCCTAAATAAGTGAAGCAAAGATGGGGTTTCCATTCCTCACATCACCCCCTTCATGCGCCTTAACCTCTTTGGGGTTAATGAAGCCAATAGCAATTTTTTTTTTTTAATGAACTGTGACATTAAAGGCAATGTGGATAAGCTTCAGCAAGTGTTCTTACTTTGATGCTTAAATATTCCTGGAAATTTCCAGCCAATTCTTAAAAACAGACAGTGATGTAAAATGTACTTTATTATAAGCTGATAAGATTCAGTTATCCTTTAACCCTTCAGGTAAACACAGCAATATGTGAATTTGTCCCTGAAGTTTGAAACATTCTTTAAATATAAAAAAAGTTAATTAAAAAACTTAAAGCTAAATATGAACCAAAAACCTTAATCTTGTGTGTAGTAGAAAGACTTGATCAAGAGTAGATAAAAATAGTTATTCATACTTATTTTGCACTCAATTACATGGTACCAGGCACTTTATACATCTTAACCTATTTAATTTATACCCATTTTACATGTGAGAAAACTTAGGAGCTGCAAAAACTTGCCCAACATCGAGGATGTCTGCAAAGTGTCAGAGTTGGGATGTGGGTAACTGTGAAATCCCTTTTAATTCTGTCGCTCTAGCAAAACCCAACCTGGAAATGTAAAGGGGAATGGATAGAAAATAGGCAAATTTTTTAGAGTAAATGAAGGCAACTGATTGCCGTGTTTTATCATCCACCGTGATACACTTAATGGGTTCCAGTACCTTAAATGGGTTCCAATATCTAAACCTGATTCAAGTGATGATTTCTTAGTCATGGGTTTTTCTTCAAGTTGAGCTTTCAGAAAATTAAAGTCACAGAATTATGTAACCATCCTAGCAGAACTGCTAAGAGATATACCAAAATGTGTCCAAATTTTTCCCTCTGCAACTAAAATCATCAGAGGGTACATGTTATTAATGCACTATTTTGGATTTTTCTGTCATTGACATGTTTAAATGATCCATTCAGTAAGACAGTTTCCTAATTGTTCGGTATATTCTGTTCTCATAAAGATGACAAAAAACCTTCATTTGTTTAGCACTTTCTGTATTTTGTATTATTTTTTTTCAGGCTAGATTCCCAGAAGTAGAACTCCTGAGTCACAGGTAGGTATATTCTATGACTTGATGCATAGTGCCAATTCATAACACCACCAGCAATGTAAGAGTACTGCTGGCATCACTTTTTTTTTTTAAGATTTTTTTTTTTTTTATTGGACAGAGAGAGGGACACACACACACACAGAACCTCCCATTACTGGGTCATTCCCTAAATGGCCAGAGCTGGGCCAACTTGAAGCTTAGAGCCTGTACCTCATTCAGGGTCTCTCCTATGAGTGGCATGGGCCTAAGTCCTTGGATCATCTTTTGTTGATTTCTTAGGCACTTCAGCAGGGACTTTAACCAGCACTTCTATGGGATGCCAGCATCACAAACAATGGCTTAACCTATTGTACTACATCACATTCTTGTCAACAATGAGATCTATTAAAACAATAGAATTTTAATGGCTAAAACATGTTCTCTTTAAACATCTTTGATTATGAATGAAATTAAGTTTTTTTTAACATGTGAGGACTTCAAAATGTTTATGGAAATTAGAATGAAAAGATAATTTTACTTGGTATAATTTTGAAATCCACGCATATGAGGGCCTTCAAAAAGTTTGTGGAAAATATGCATTATGAAAAAACAGCATGGATTTCAAAATTTTTTCCATTAAACATAAAATTCTATTCATGAACTTTTTGAAGCACCTGTCGGTCCTCCTCCTTTAGCCATTTGTAATGGACTTTCTTCTCTGTTTCAGACTCCAAGTGTGAGAAGTGGAAAGCCCAGGGTTACCTTCTAGAGACAATAAATGCAGAATTGAAAGCTCTGGAGTCCGTTTTTTTTTTGTTGTTTTTAATTTTGCAATAATTAACGTCTAATAATTACCCTTAACTTGCCTATCACAGATTATTTTTTAAGATTTATTTATTTGAAAGTTACAGTTAGAGAAGGAGAGGCAGAGAGAGAGGGAGGTCTTCCATCGCTGGTTTACTCCCCAATTGGCCTCAACAGCTGGAGCTGTGCCCATCCAAAGCTGGGAGCCAGGAGCTTCCCCTGGGTCTCCCACGGTGCAGGGCTCAAAGACTTGGGCAATCCTCCACTGCTTTCCCAGGCCATAGCAGAGAGCTGAGTTGGAAGTGGAGAAGCCAGGACTGGAACTGGCACCCATATGGGATGCTGACACTGCAGATGGTGGCTTCACCTGCTACACCACAGTACCAGCCCCTGTCACAGATGTTTTTAACTCAACTTTTTCCTTATGTTCATGCTTTGAAGAAATAGGTGTCGGGGCCTTCAGTCTTGCTCCCAGCCCCTCCTGAGGCTGCTGTCCTCATCCTCTCAGGACCTTGCACCTAGTATCTCCATCCCCCTGTTTCTCATCACTTTGGGGAGTAGGTGATTGTTACCCTTCCCAGGGAAATGAATGCGTATCAGGAGTGCAGACTTAAACTAGAGGAATGTGGAGTCATAAGCAAAGGCCAAGGCAGGTTTATAAATACTCTGTCAAGGCCAAGTGCACCTTTGTGACATTAGACACCCAAGCACCTTGAACATAAAGAGGTAGAGCTTAACATCTGCTGGGGTCCATTCTCCACAGTTTACATTGGCTAACTTTTTCTGGCTGCTGTACTGTAGACTGGGTGACTTAGCAACACATTTATTACTATCAGTTCTAAAAGCTGGGAAGTTCAAGATCAGAAATGCCATCCAGCAGCTTCAGTTTCCAATGAGGGCTCTTGTCCTGGCTCGCAGACTGCTGCCTTTCCCTGTGTCTACCTGGCTGGGAGCTGGCTACCTCTGACCTCTCCACCTTTGTTCATGAGGACACGCCAGTCCTATCAGATTAGGGTCCCACCCTTAGGACCTCATTTAACTTTATTTACCTCTTAAAGACCCTGTCTCCAAATATAGTCACGTTGAAGGTTAGGGCCACAATACAAATTTTGGGGGAACACAGTTCTCTTATTTATTTTTTTATTTGACAGGTAGAGTTATAGACAGAAAGGTCTTCCTTCCGTTGGTTCACTCCCCTAATGGTGCTGCGCTGATCTGAAGCCAGGAGCCAGGTGCTTCTCTCTGGTCTTCCATGGGGGTGCAGGGGCCCAAGCACTTGGGCCATCTTCCACTGCCCTCCCGGGCCACAGCAGAGAGCTGGACTGGAAGAGGAGCAACCAGGACTAGTACCCAGTGCCCCAACTGGGACTAGAACTCGGGGTGCTGGTGCTGCAGGCGGAGGATTAGCCAAGTGAGCTGTGGCGCCGGCGGGGGAACACAGTTCTGTCTGTAGCATTCTTTCTTTCTCCAAAATGTGTGTCCTCATTACACATAGAATATATCCATTCCAACCTGACAGCCTCAAAAGATTTAATTCATTGCAGCATCAACTCTGAAGGCCAAAGTCTCATCTAAATGTCTGAGCTGGGCATGGGGAAGACTTGTAGTGCAATTCCACTGTGTAGTAGGATTCCCATTGTGTAGCACGGTTCTCAGCTCAGAACCTGTGACACCAGATGAATTCCTTGTTTCCCAGGCCTAGGTTACTCATATTCTTCCCAGAGTACACATTATACTAACCTTTTTAACTGAGTCTGTTTACTTCTGCCAAGAATTCCTTCTCTAACTCCTCTCTGTCCTCTCATGTTGTACTATAATCGGTGAGGAGAACCCAAGCCACATCTTCAATACTTTGATCAATTCACGAAGAAGTCTAAGCAGTTTCATTGATTGTGAGTTGTACTGTCCACAAAACAGTAGAACACAGTTCATTCAGGCTCATTGCCATCTTGTAATAAAGATCCCCTTTCCTCCAGTTTCTAGTCACCTCTTCCTCATTTCTGAGACTTCACCAAAATGATCTGTAATGCCTATTAGCCTCATGTTCATGGTTATTTATTGTCTAAGAGTGTGGAAGCTTTCTCTCCAACTCTCCCTCTTTCTTGTTGAAGACTTACCAAAATCATCTCTAGCATATAAAAATATGTAAGATTTTATTTACTTGAGAGGTAGAGCTATAAAGAGTGAGACACAGAGAAAGGTCTTCTGTCCTCTAGTTTACTCCCCAAATGGCCACAATGGCTGGAGCTGGGCCTATCTGAAGCCAGGAGCTTCTTCTGGGTCTCCTACATGGGTGCAGGGGCCCAAGCACTGGGGCCATCTTCTACTGCTTTCCTAGGCCATAAGCAGAGAGCTGGATCAAAGAGGAGCAGCCGGAACACGAATTGGCACGATGTGGGCACTGTGGGCAAAGGCTTAGCCTACTATGTCACAGTGGCCCCAATATTCATATTTCTTCTAGCACTCCCTTTAATTCAGTTTTTTATGGCATGTATCTCAAAACCTCTACAGCCGGTACCCATCACCGTGCTAACAGTGCCTCCATGTTGCTATGGAATTTTGACTGCAGTGCCCCACTCTCAGTACCACCGTGTGTATTTGAGTTCTCGAGAGAAATAGGAGGTTACCTGAGCCTTTGTTGTAGGGGATTGGCTCAGGCCATTAGGAAGTCTCGCAGTCGGCAAGCCAGGGACTGAGGAGAGCTCATGGTGTACAGGTGCAGGCCGAGTCCAAGGGCCTGAAAACCAGGAGTGCCAATGCTTTATGTTCCAGTAAAATACCAGCAACTAGGGAAAAGACCTGAGAACTGAAGTTTGACTTGTTGGGAAAGACTGATGTCCCGGCTCAAGCTTGTGGGAGGAGCTCCCTCTTAATAGTGGGTGTCACAGCTTTTTTTTTTTTTTCTTCAGGCCGTCAGCTGAATGAGTGAGGGGCACCCACGTGGGAGGGGAATGTGCCTGTCTACAGAGATACTCATTCAGACACAGCCTCCGGGGCACACCATGTTTGATCATGCCTGCCCTTTTCTTCTCTGCAGGGAGGAATTTTTTTTTTTTTAATTTTTTTTTTTTTTTTTTTGACAGACAGAGTGGACAGTGAGAGAGAGACAGAGAGAAAGGTCTTCCTTTGCCGTTGGTTCACCCTCCAATGGCCGCCGCGGCCAGCGCGCTGCGGCCGGCGCACCGCGCTGATCTGATGGCAGGAGCCAGGAGCCAGGTGCTTTTCCTGGTCTCCCATGGGGTGCAGGGCCCAAGCACCTGGGCCATCCTCCACTGCACTCCTGGGCCACAGCAGAGAGCTGGCCTGGAAGAGGGGCAACCGGGACAGAATCCGGCGCCCCAACCGGGACTAGAACCCGGTGTGCCGGCGCTGCAAGGCGGAGGATTAGCCTAGTGAGCCGCGGCGCCGGCCTGCAGGGAGAATTTTTATCTGCTTGTGTGCTGGGCTTTGGGGCCTTTGCTGTCCCCGTTGAAGCAATGGGTGGAAGCATATAAGAATGAAGGGCTGGGGGTGGCCAGCTTTATTACAGCAGAAAAACTCGAGGAGGAGAAGGGTTTAGGAGTTTCCAGGGACACTTCCACTGGTGTTGGACAAAGGATGAGGGGAAACCCCCACACCCTGTACCCCATCTCTTCAATGACTCAAACTTTTCAAGGATTGGCAGTGGGGTTTATTCTTTTAAAATATTTTTTACTTTTTTAAAAGATTTGAGAGGTAGGCTTACAGAGCAGGAGAGACCGAGAAAGGTCTTCCATCTGCAGGTTCTCTCCCCAAATGGTCGCAATGGTCAGAGCTGAGTCAATCAGGAGCCAGGAGCTTCTTCTGGGTCTCCCACATGGTTGCAGGGGCCCAAGGACTTGGGCCATCTTCTGCTTTTCCAGGCACATTAGCAGGGAGCTGGATCAGAAGTGGAGTAGTTGGGACTTGGATCCCAACTATGGATCATATGGGATGCAGGCATTCCAAGTGGAGAATCTTTTTTTAAGATTTATTTGAAAGAGTTACACAGAGAAGGAGAGGCAGAGAGAGAGGTTTTCTATCTCCCAATTGGCCACAGCAGGTGGAGCTGTACCAATCTGAATATGGATCAGATCCATACGGATGCCAGCACCACAGGTGGAGGCTTAGCCTACTAGGCCACAGTGCTGGCCCCTCTTTTTTTCTTTTTCTTGTGTTTTTAAGATTTTATTTGAAAGGCAGGATGAGAGAGAGATGCATCTGTTCATTGACTCCCCAAATGCCTGCAACAGCCAGGACTGGGCAAGGCCAAAGCCAGGAGTTGGGAACTCCATCTGGGTCTCCCGTGTGGGTGTCAGGAACCCAAGAACTTGCTCCATCACCTACTTCCTCCTAGGATGCATTAGCAGGAAGCTGATCAGAAGTAGACATGTCAGGGGCTGGCGTTGTGCTGTACCAGGTAGAACTGCCGCCTGTGACCCCAACATCCCACATGGGTGCCAGTTCATGTCCCAGCTGCTCCTTTTCAGATCCACCTCCTTGCTAATGACCTGGGCAAATCAGCAGAAGATGGTCCAAGTCCTTGGGCCCCTGCTACCCACTTGGGAGACCTAGAAGAAGCTCCTGGCTTCGGCCTGGACTAGCCCAGGCTCTTGCGGCCATCTGGGGAGTGAACCAGTGGGTGGAAGATCTCCTTCTGACTCTTTCAATAAATAAATCTTAGGAAGTAGAGATGCCAGGATCTGAACCAGACTCTCTGATGTGGGATGCGGGCATTCCAACACAGAGAAGGAGAGGCAGAGAGAGAGGTCTTCTATCTCCCACAGCAGGTGGAGCTGCACCAATCTGAAGCCAGGAGCTTCTTCCGGGTCTCCCACATGGGTGCAGGGGTCATCTTCTGCTTCCCCAGGCCATAGCAGAGAGCTGGATTGGAAGTGGAGCAGCCAGGACTCGAATCGGCACCCGTATAGGATGCCAGCACTGCAGGCGGCAGCTTTACCCACTATACCACAGTGCCAGCCCCCAAAGTGGTGACTTAACTACTTGGACCACACACAGTCATGGTTTCTTTCTTTTGAATGTGATGTTGTTTGGGACTGGGTCCCGGGGTGAGGCCCAGAAGGCCTTTACTGATGTAAGTTGCACATAGCCTAAGTGAGGTTCACTGGTAGTAGAATGAGCGCTGCCTCCTGGCTCCTGCTGCCTGGGGAGTGCTGGGTAGTGAGAATTGCGTTCCCGGGGACAGAATCCCTGCTTCTGTAGGAAGCATCACGTTTTAGGCCAGTTTATAAAGCTTTAACACTTCCTAGGAATAGCAGCTCCAGGGTAATAAATCCTGGTGAATAAGCAGTGATCGTGAAAAATGTTTTTATTCTGGAATCTTCTTGTGGATTTCAAAGGGCTGTGAAGAAGAACCAATGCATTTGATCTCTGGGTCAGCGGGGGCTTCCCCAAGCACTGGCGCTCAAAGTGGTTTTGCTCATGGCCCTTGAGGTCTGGACTAAAGGTGAGGGTGGGAACTGGAGACTGGGGCCTCTGTGCACCAGTTCTGCTATTAAAAGTCTGTTTTGTTCCCCCAAGAGGCCTTGCAGCACCGTGATGAGGGCCTACAAGCTCTGGAGGGTCACAGTGCTGGAGTGTAAATCCTGGCCTGACCACCTACTGCTGACCACCTGTGTAGCCATTGGCAATTTACCGAATCTCTGTGTTTCGTTTTTTTTTTTTTTTATCTGTAAAATGGGAATGATAATAGCACCACCCTCCTAGAGTTTTTGTGAAGATTGTGTAAAAATACATGTAAAGCCCTCAAAACAGCGCCAGGAGCCCACAAGGGTTTGCTGCTGTTAGTTTGAGAAAGCACACACACAAGGAAGTAGAGTGATGGGATGATTGGGGCATTTATGAAATCCGCTTCTGGACTAATCAATTTGTTCCCTTTTTGGGGTTCTATTTAGTAACAGAGCCCACCTTACCTGTGACTTCTGTGCTCTGGAGAAGGGTTTCCTGATTCCCCAGGTCTCATCACCTGTTGGCACCAGTAGTCTCAAACACAGTACTTCTGTCTGCCCTGGCCAGACTCAGGTCCCTGTTGAGTGGGGTACTTCACTATGGATGGCTGAGTTTGTAATTCCAGCAGGTTCTCACAGAAGGGGGAGATAGCTTATGGACCTGGGTTCTGAAGGAGCAATGGGAATGCATAAGAAGCTATGAGTAGGGAAGGGGGGTGCAGGAAAGAGGGGGTGTTAGAGCTAAAGTAGACAAAGTTTAGCCTAGCATCTGTAACAGAATGCCTACCAGTTGTTCCAGTCTTGCTACGATGTACATTTTCTCTTTTCTGAATCAGTAGCTCACATATGAGCATACCCCAAAAAAATTTGTAGGAAAAAGGAATTAAAAGATAATTTAAAGAAATATTTATTTGAAAGGCAAAGTGACAGACAAGGAGGTCTTTCATCCATTGGTTCACTTCCTGAATGGCTGTGACAGTAAGGGCTGGTCCAGGCTGAAGTCAGGAGCCAGGTACTCCATCCAGGTTTCACACATGAGTGCAGGAGCCCAAGCTTGGACCATCTTCCTCTGCTTTCCCAGGCACATTAGCAAGGAGCTGGACCAAAAGTGGAGCAGCCAGGACTCCAGACTCTGATATGGGATCCAGCATCAGTGGTAGCTGCTGTACTGATGTAGCTGTACTACAACACTGGCTCCATAAATTAGTTTGCTGCAAAAATTTTAGAAATCCATGCATTTTTTTCATAAACTTTCATAACCTTTCCATGAACTTTTTTTTTTTTAATATTTATTTACTTGAAAGAATACACTGAAGGAGAGGCAGAGAAAGAGAAGTCTTCCATCCACTGGTTCACTCCCCAGCTGGCCACAATGGCTGGAGATGTGTTGATCCGAAGCCAGAAGCTTCTTCCAGGTCTCCTGCATGGATGGAGGAGCCCAAGGACCTGGCCATCTTCCTGGGAAAGCACTGGGCCATAGCAGAGAGCTGGATTGGAAGTGGAACGGCTGGGACTCGAACCGGTGCCCATGTGGGATGCCGGCACTTCAGATGGTGACTTTATCCTCTTCACCACAGTGCTGGGCCCTCCATGAACTTCTAAAATTATTGGCCCTATGTTGTGGCATAACAAGCTGCCACCTCCAATGCTGAGATCCCATGTGGTTGTTGGTTGGAATCCAGGCTTTTCCTTCTGATCCAGCTTGCTGCTAGTGGCCTAGGAAAGCAGCGGAAGATGGCCCAGGTCCTTGGGCCCCTGTACCCATGTGGAAGACCCAGATGAAGCTCCTGGCTTCAGCCTGGCCCAGCCCTGGCTGTTGCAACTCTTTGGGGAAGACTTAACTTTCTTGGTCTCTAATTCTGCCTCTCAAATAAGTAAATTTGAGAGTAAGTAAGTAAATTTGAGAGTAAGTAAATTTGAGAGGCAGAGTTAGAGGGAAAGAGAAAGACTTTCCATTTGTTGGTTCACTACCCAGGTGGCTACAACTGCCAGGGCTGGGCCAGGCTGAAGCCAGGAGCCGGGAACTCCATCTCTCTCCCATGTGGGTAGGTGGCAGGGGCCCAAGCTCTTGGGCTATTTTTTTTTTTTTTTTTTTTTTTTTTTTGCTGCCTTCCCAGGCACATTGGCAGGGAGCTGCATGGGAAGCAGAGCAGCAGGGACTGGGACAGGTGCTGTGATAAGGGATGCCATCTTGCAGGCAGCGGCTTAAGGTGCTGCACCACAGTGCCGGCCCCTCTGTGAGCTCTCTGAAGACTGCCTGCTGAGGGATGGCTCTTGAACATTAGTGTGCAGAGGGGCCCGTGGGGGCGCTTGTTACAACTGCTGACTTCTGGGCCCACCTCTGGAGACTGCTCCACACAGCACTCTGGAGTCCAGTGAGTTGCATGGGGGTGTCTGAGAGCTGTGGTGCCCCAGAACCAAGAAGCAGAAGGACCAAGATCTGGTTTGAGATCAGTGGGGAGAGGCTTTTTTGGAAGCTGTACTTTATGACCAACACACTTTTAAAAAAGATTTATTTATTTAAAAGAGTTAGAGCTTCCATATGCTGGCCCATTCCTGCACTGCCAGGCTGAAGCGAGGAGCTTCATCCAGGTCTCCCAGGTGGGTAGCAGGGGCCATCCTCTGCTTTTCCCAGACCACTCCCTAGGAGCTGGATCAGAAGTGGAGCAGCTGAGACACGAACTGGTGCCCATATGGGATGCTGGTGTTGCAGGTGGCAGGTTACTGACTATGCAACAATGCTGGGCCCCCAGCACACGTATTTTTTTTTTTTTTTTTAAGATTTATTTTTTTGAAAGGCAGAGTTAGAGAGGCAGAGAGAGATCTTCCATCCGCTGGTTCACTCCCCAAATGGCCACAATGGCCAGAGCTGGGTGGATCCAAGCCAGGAACCTGGAGCTTCTTCCAAGTCTCTCATGTGGGTGCAGGGGCCCAAGGACTTGGGCCATCTTTCACTGCTTTCTCGGGCCATAGCAGAGAGCTGGATTGGAAGTGGAGCAGCCAGGTCTCAAACTGGTGCCCATATGGGATGCCTGCACTGCAAGCGGCGGCTTTAGCCACTATTCCACAACACCGGCTCCCAGCACATGTATTTTAAAAAAAAAATTAAGATTTATTTATTTGAAAGGCAGAGTTACAGAAAGGCAGAGGCAGAGAGAGATCTTCCATCCACTGATTCACTCTCTAGATGGCCCCAACAGATGGAACTGTGCCAATCTGAAGCCAGGAGCTTCCTCCAGGTCTCCCACGTGGGTGCAGGGACCCAAGGACTTGGACCATCTTCTGCTTTTCCAGGCCATAGCAGGGAGTTGGATTGGAAGTGGAACAGCCGGGACTCGAACTGGCACCCCATGGGATGCTGGCACTGTGGGCGATGGCTTTATGTGTCACACCACAGTACGGGCCTCAGCACATGTATTTTTTAAAAATGTTAGCGAGTGCCTCCTTGTGCTGGTTCATTCTTCAAATGGTGGCAAGAGCCTGGGCTGGGCCAGACTAAGCCAGGGGTCTCCATCGTGAGTGGCAGGGACACTAGTACTTGAGCCATGACCACAGCCTCCCACTGCATTAGCCGAGAGCGGTACTGCGCCAGGGCTGAAGGCCTGGGGAGTGAAAGCTTAACCTGCCGAGTCACAGTGCCCCACCCTGGCCAGCACATTTAGAAATGCACTTGGAATGTTGATTTAGTGGGGCTTTAGGGAGCCGGTGGATATCGTGTCACGCTGCATCTCCACAACTCTGTCCCGTGAGATCCAGGCCCTGAGAAACACGCTCAGAAAGTCCCAGCAGTGGTGGGTGCCTGTGTGCGCTGTGCTTTCCCACAGGAGACGCAGAGACCCAGAGAGGTCACACAGCGCTTAGACACAGGTCTGAGACTGCCACCGAGTGTCCTGTTCCCCAGCCATCTGCCCACTCGCCACACACCTGTGCTCTCTGGAGTAGGGGGAGACAGTGAGAGAGCTGGGCCCACAGCCCCCAGAGGGCGGGGCCGCAGCGGGTATCTTGTCCTAGTGGAAAATGGAGCCCGAGTTAGCATAGGGACACTTTTTGGTCTGGAATTCATACGTTTGCGATCAAAAGTCATTGATGGCTCTCTTCAAAGGCAACACCATGTCCTCCCCAGACAGAAAAAAAAGTGCAAGTGTTAAGACTTTGCTTTCTTCTTTTTAAATCCCGGGGAGGAAGAGACAGCCCCTAAGGGAGTCCCCGGTCTGCATTGCTTCCTGGTAACCGGTCCTGCAGCAGGCGCTGGGCTGGGCTGGGCTGGGCTGGGCTGGGCTGCCGGGGCGGTGCGGGGTGGCGGGCGCGGGTCTGCGGCAGCGCGGGCGGGGGCACTGCAGCACCGCGGCCCTCGGGCGGCGGGCCGTGCGCGCTGGAGGGGGCGCTGTGGGCTCTGCGCGGCGGCCTTTTGTCAGCGCGCACCGCCGGGCCAGCCCTCATTTCCTCCCAGCCTCGTGCGGGAAATGGATTTGATTCTCCCGGCAGGGCTGTGAGGGACGAGCGGGAACAGCGCCTTTGTCAGCGAGCAGCGGCCTCCGCGCTCCGAGATTAGCTCCGCCGTGGAGGAGCCGCGCTGCCGGGAGGGATTCCTGGCGGGATGCGGGGGACACGCGGCGCTGCGGACTAGCGGGGCGCCTTGATGAGGCGCGCCCAGAAACCACAGCAGCCCGCGTCCCGCTCCGCAGTGGAAGAGCAGACCCGGAGGAGATGCCGCGCGGGAGGTAAGGCGGCCTCTGCTTTGTTGATTTTCACTGCATCGAGAAGCCTTGGTAGCCGCCGTGGGTCCGACAGGTTTCGGGGGATGATGTAACGCTGAGGGCTCTTTGAAAACCCGGGCCGCAAACGCTGGCCCCTGCGTGGGGACGGTGGGACCCTTGCCCGGAGCGTAGCGCCTCGCCCGCGGGGCCGCCCACCCTCTTCTTCCCTGCCTGCTCCGCCGCCGCCCTCCGGGGCGCTGGGCACCCTCCCTGGGGTCTCGCTCTCCGCCGCAGGGCAGCTGGAGCAGGTGCAGCGGCCACTGCCTGCTGTGTTCGGGTCGAGGCAGCTGACACGTGAGTGGGGCCCTGGGGGTTTGGATTCTGATGCGACTGCACCACTTTGAAGAGGGAAAAGGCCACTGTCCCCGAGATGTTGCCGGCCTGTGCCCCTTTAGCTACCATCTTCCCTCCCTTCTCTTTCCTTGTCACCTTCTTCCTCCTGCACCGCGGAGGAGGACACCTGGGCCTGGAGGCGGGAGTCTGCGGCTGCTTGTTTTGAAATCGCCACCTCCGTCTACCTGGTATGGGGGGAGGGCGGGCGGGCAGGGCCGGGCCCCTTTGGGATGCTCATCAGGCGCGGGGCTGGCCTATTGTCTTGCTTTTCCTTTTCCAGTTTCTCGTCCCTCATCTCCATCCTCTGCCAAAAAAAAAAAAAAAAAAAAAAAAGTAATAAAACCTAAAAATTGAAGAGGCAACCCCCCCAGCCCACATCCTATCAAATTCTTAAAAATTGTCATTTTTCTGTGATATGCAAGTGTCACCCGTCTGTTGCTTTGCGCCCACGCCTCTCTTCTCTGGCAGTTCATCCTGTAGGATCCAGCTGCCTCCCATAAGCCTCATAAAGAATAGAAACGGCTTCTGTTTCCTAAGCGGGCATTTCATGCCCACTCACCCCTGAAGAGGGCCAGGTTCCGCGTCCAGGCTGAAGCTGGGGGATTGCAGAGGGTGTCCCCACCTCTCCTCGCGTTTGTGATCTAGCTGGGATTCATGAGATGTTTAACCTGTGCCATGAGAGGTGTTCTCCTTGATGGGACTTGAAGACTATGTTTCATTTGAAGGAAAAAGCAATAGCTGGCCAACACTGGAGTGAATTTCAGCCTTGCAAGTGACACCTCCCACTAGCATATGAATAATATATGTCAGAGATTTTAAAGAGGGTGCTAGCCCATTTGAGGTTTTGACTTTCTGATGTTCTGCCTTCATTCTGTGAAGCAAGCAGACTTTCCCTGTGCCTGTAGACCAGGACCTTGCCCAGCCCCCTCACTTCCTCCCCAACAGGTACCAGTTGAAGCAAACTTTTTGTTATTAGGATGATATCAGCACATTTTGGAAAACCACTGAAGATAAATCATTCTTTGATCCAAAATGCATAACAGTTTTGTAGCCAGCCCTATTTTGCTGGCTGGTCCAGTCAGAGACGTGTTTGTCATAGGAACAGCACACAGCCATGCCTGCAATGGCACTTCACCTGTGATTTCCAGCTTGGGCTGAATTTGTTTTAAATATGACTCATAGTGTTGAAATGAGCAAACCTCAACTGTTCTTATAGTTTACAGATGATCAGGTGTATTTATTGGCAAAGGACTTAGTGTCAAGGTTTTTAAATATATTGATTTCCTACCTCGTTCCACAGGGGTTTTAAGATAGTTTACTATAGCAAGGCAGCCTACCTTGGAAGTATCTGGAAAAGGAAAAAACAAATCAAAGATAGAGACATAATATGTTTTAGACTGAGGCTCTTATGAAAACATAAGCATGCAGCCCTCTGTGCTGGCTCTGAGCAGGAACAAACACAGCTTTAAACTTCCCAGCAGCTCATGCAAAAACGAAATGGACTTGTCCACGGCTCATACGTTCCATGTGTGTGTTCATTTATTCGCTCACTTGTTCACTCAACAGGCATTCAGTGAGGACTGGCCAGTGTCAGTGAGAGGTTCTGGGAACAAAGGGTTGAAGCAGTTGGGCGTGGCCCTCTGCCCTGACAGCGCTTAGAGACAAGTGTAAGAAACAGACAAATCTCTCAAATGAGCATGTAATTATAAGTTGTATTTAGGAAAAGCACAAAGCACCACATGCCAGAACACAAAATAACCACTTAATAAAAGCACAATGATTCTTGGCTCAAAGGAACTTTTCCCAAAGATGATCTAGTGGTTGGAATGATGTCTTCAATTACCCCCTCGGCAGACACAAGACAAGTCTCCTGGGTTGTCCCTGACAGTGGCCCCTGGTGTGAGCTCATGATTCCACGACACAGGTCCCTCAGACCCCTGGGGTTCTGAGGCTATGTGTATTTTGAGATATCCGGACATTCTTTAAAACTAGTGGTTTCATTCCAGTGACAAAGTCATTAATATTGAAAGTGTGCTCTGGATCATTATGATGACAAGTCCCAAACTGAGGCTGAGGCCCATGTTGTCCTCTGTGCCTTCCCCTTCCTGGTGAGCCAAGGGCAGGCCTGATGGGCAGCATCATAGTGGGCCGGAGGGGAGGGGAGGATGCCCAGAGTGTGACTAGTGGAGAGTCTGCCCACGGTACCTGCTTGGCAGATGAAGAGAACAGCTGCTATACTGGCAAGGAGCGAAGATCTCTTGCAAACAGGTGTGGTCCAAAAAGCAATGGGAAAGTTGCTGTTGGTGTTAGCAATACTTTGATTCGATCTCCACCTACACTGAGCTAGTAACACACATGAAGTACCCTGCATCTCAGGTAATGAGAAAGGTACTTTGTGAGTCGTTAAGTGGAGTCAGATTGTCTGACTTCAAATCCCATTTTTCTCTATTTGCTGTAAGACTCTGGGCAAGTTATTTAACCTCTCTGTTCCTCAGTTACTTATGAGAACATAGCATTGTATGTGTGTGATATTAGTTTCATAGCAATATTACAGGAATTAGTGAATTATTATACATGAGAGACTTGGAACATATAGTAAAGTTCAATAAATTTTAATGATTATCACTATTTTTATTAGTCTGAGATGATGCCTCATTTATGTAGCCACTCCAGAGTAGATGGATGGCAGATTTTTTAAAGCTGCTATTTGATTGTCTTCAAGATGCAAACATGTTTTTGAGGTTATTAAGGCTGTTTTGCTTCACCTATATTAGTCTTGTCAAAGTTCTAAAAATGATAGCGTGTAGAAAGTAGACCTCGGGCTACAACTGCATGTTGTTAATTCCAAATGGTGTTTTCAGCAAGACAATATGACCTGTTGCAGTAAATCGACTTTTATTAATCTGACACTTTGAAGTTTGGTAGTTGTATTTGTACATTTGCTTTGGCATTTAGTAATAAAGCTGGGAAGCAGAGATGTTTAGACTTGGTCTTTATGAATATACACATTTAGGTTACATTTTAATAAAAATCGCTTAGATCAACCCTGGGGTCAACAGATAATTTTTTTCCTTCAAAAGGGATTTTTGTGTGGTTTAGGCATTTTGAACTGTGTACAGGAACATGCCCAAGATTCCTAGAATAGCATTTTTGAATCTCTAGAGACCAGATTGCAGCCCCAGCTTTGGACCCCAACACGCACCTTGGCTACTGAAGTTTTAGCCAACTAAACTATGAAAGAATTTTTTTAAAGATTTATTTTATTGAAAAGATTTACAGAGAGAGGAGAGGCAGAGAGAGAGAGGTCTTCCATCAGCTGGTTTACTCCTCAATTAAATGGCCACAACGGCTGATGCTGCGCCGATCCGAATCCAGGAGCCAGGAGCTTCTTCTGGGTCTCTCACGCGGGTGCAGGGGCCCAAGCGCTTGGGCCATCTTCCACTGCTTTCCCAGGCCACAGCAGAGAGCTGGATGGGAAGTGGAGCAGCTGGGACTTGAACTGGCGCCCATATGGGATGCCGGCACTGCAGGTGGTGGCTTTACCCGCTACACCATAGCGCCGGCCTCTATGAAAGAATTTTAAAGCAGTGATTCTCCACATTGCCTGTCCTCTACCACTGAATCCCAAACTGAAAGAGCACCGATGGAGAGAGAAGCTTCTAGCAAAGACTCATCCAAACCTATCTTCCAAAGCAGACTACTTTGCTGATATTATTGAATAAAGTGGAAAGGAAGTCTAGTCTTTGAGGGTACAAAGTCTGACTGTTTTAATTAAAGCAAGTTTATTGATTGCATTATTCAGATCTATTTTTAAGTTTTCTTTATGCTCAGTGATCTGTTAAAGATTGCAAGAGGGCCAGCATTGTGGCACAATGTGTTAAGCTGCTGCCTGCAATACCAAATCCCATATTGGAGCACTGGTTTGAGTCCTGCCTGCTTGCTTCCAGTCCAGCTCCCTGCTAATGTGCCTGGGAAGGCAGTGAAAAATGGCCCAAGTACTTAGACCCCTGCCCCTATGCAGGCCACTCAGAGTTCCTGGATCCTGGCTTTGCGTGACCCAACCCCAACTGTCACGACCATTTGGAGAGTAAACCAGCAGATGGGAGATACTTACCTCTTTCCCTCCCTCCCTCTCTGCCACTCTGCCTTTCAAATAAATAAAGTGTTAAAAAAGATTACTGGGCTGGCGTGTGGTGTAGAGGGTTAAGCTGCTGCCTGCAGTGTCTGCATCCCATGTGGGCACCAGCTCGAGTCCCAGCTGCTCCACTTCCAATCCAGCTCTCTGCTGTGGCCTGGGAAAGCAGTGGAAGATGGCCCAAGTCCTTGGGCCCCTGTACCCACATGGGAGACACAGAGGCAGCTCCAGCCATTGTGGCCATTTGGGGATGAGCCAGCAGATAGAAGATCTCTTTTTCTCTCTGCCTCTGCCTCTCTGTAACTCTGCCTTTCAAATAAATAAATAAATCTTAAAAAAAAACAGGGGCCGGCACTGTGGCGTAACAGGTAAAGCCGCTGCCTCCAGTGCTGGCATCCCATGTGGGCGCCAGTTCGAGTCTTGGCTGCTCCACTTCCAATCCAGCGCTCTGCTGTGGCCTGGGAAAGCAGTGGAAGATGGCCCAAGTCCTTGGGCC